GAGTACACTGTACAGTCTGTACTATTACTTTCAACCATTAATTTTATGTCACAAGAAAGATAAATGATAAATGATGGACTCAGATATTGCTGTACCATAAAATGGAGTGCAATTCTTGGTAGAATTTATTTTTTGCGGTATCATACCCACCGCAATTACTATTTTAGACAAGTCATAACTAATGGTAACGGTATTAATAACTGTGTCCTACCTTTTGAAACAACATTCATTTTTGTGAAAGTAATGTCTGCAGAAGCAGCTCAGATCAAACTGGCTTAGGAAAACGATATAACTTAGGGTTAAATTCGTACAACCCCTGTAATTTGAAATTTTTACACGTATCCCTCTTTATTTTTCAAAAAGGTATAAAGTTATCTCCTTTTCATTAATTTTCTGTTGAGGAACCCTAAGAGTTGGTAACATTCTGAACATTCCGGATTTAAAAAAAAAAAAATTAGAGTTCAATTTTGTCATTATACAACCTAATTAGCAATACTAGTAAAATGGAAGTAATAGGATGAAACACTCAATATTGAGATACAAACCTAAATTACCATATCAAATTTTGTCATTATACAACCTAATTAGCAATACTAGTAAAATGGAAGTAATAGGATGAAACACTCAATATTGAGATACAAACCTAAATTACCATATCAAAAATTATTAAGGGAAAATTAAATTTTGGTGACCAAAATTTTAAACTTTTGCTCTAGAGTAACCTTTAACTCAGAAGAAAAAATAAATAGTAACTGTACTTAAAAAATAATTATGGATAAGTGACAATTTAGAAATGGTGGATCACTTGCTATATAATTGTTTCGAGACGGTGAAATCAGTCACTAAGATGGGGCGATATGTTCGACTCACCTACTGGATGAATTTGGGTGGATCATTCTAAATTTTATATTTTAGTTATCAATCTATACTAATATCAATTCAATTTATAATTGAATTATGCTATATTTAGAAATACCGAATAGGCGGTTTTGAATTTGGAATCGAAAAAAATTTATTATAAAATTTTTCTTTTAATTCTAAATCCAAAGTACCTACTCTGTCTTAAAATTCTAGTTCTCATCCAACAACCTCAGAAGCAATCAAGACTTTTGTTTGGCATAAAGAAGGCTTTCACCATCCGCTGCTCTTTTTGGTGGTTTTTGTGATCAAAGGGGAATTTCAAAGGGTTGAGATTGATTACAATTCCATTTACTTTGCAGGGTTTTGTGTTGTGGCTGTGAATTTTTATTGGAAAATAATAAAATTGACAACATGGATGCCATCTATGAAGATTCGGCACCGTACTATATAGTTATTGTCTACTTGTACACCTTTTTTTCGGTGCTCATAATTTTGTTCAAAACGTGTTTACATTGTTAAGGAGTGTCTATATATATAAATGTCAAGAATTCTTTCCTCAAGTGATGTGAGACGTCATAATCATGAATCACCCCCTCTTGGGATTAGGTCCTTGTTGGCCTGGGCATGTACATGCCTCTCATTTTCGACTAGGGATTGACTCTAATATCATCTGTCATGCTCCACACCATGTAGAAGTGTTTTACGAAAAATTGTTAGTACCGAAAAAAAGTGTGTAAAGCAAATAATATTTATACAACGTAGGACAAGTTGCGCCAGAAATTGACAAATGTCTCTTGTGGAGCCCATGATAACTATTGTGCTTGTGAACTCACTTTGTGAGAGACTCTTTTTTATTTGCATGTGAATGAGGTGGTGGGGAGGACTAGGGAGCCAGGATTTCGCGCTAGGAAGGTAATATTTATCCGTTTCATAAAAAGTGTCATTTTTAAGAAATCGTGACTCTCACAAATTGAACTGACACGATTCCCAAAGCATGACACTATTTTTGGGACGAAGGTAATATATATATAGCCTATATATATATAACATGACAAATATAAAATATAAAAGAAGAAGAAAAAAATTATTCAAATATGTACATTAAAAAGAAGAATTTTAAAAGACAAATATAAAATATAAAAGAAGAAGAAGAATATTATTTAAATATGCACGTTAAAAAGAAGAATTTTAAAAAGTAAAAAAAAAAAATGTCAATTTTTTTTCCTTTTTTTTTTTTTTTTGGAAAAAAAAGTAAATTAAAGGAATTTGAAGATTAAAAGAGAGAGAGAGAGAAAAAAAAAGAAGAAGTTAAGAAATAATTATAGAAACTAAAAAATTTAGGCCCCTTCAACAAATTGCCAACTAAATATCGTCTGGCGTACCTAACTAATATTAATTTGCCATACTCTCCATTTAAGGTTCGTTTAGTTAGATGGAAATAAGCAAAAAAAAAAAAAAAAAGAAAAGTTATTTTCTAACATATATTTGGTTAGTGTCAAAATTTATTCAAGAAAATTGTAGGAAAATATTAATTTGTTAATTTGGGATAGTATGAAAGTGTAAAGAAAGTGATTGAACATACCAAAATTACCTTTATGATTTTAAATACTAAAAAGTAAATGAATTTGTATTTGTTGATGTCTATTTTCAGCAAATAAATAGTAAAATGATGAATTATTAAATTTAATAATATAATTATTTATATTAAAAATAAGACTTTATAATATTTTCTTAGGTATAGGTTTATAATATTTTCTTAGGTGTAAGTAGAACTAATTATTGGTTAAAGAGAAACAAAACATAAAGAAAAAACAGAGATGAAACAATTGATGGCAATACTAATACTAATTTTTAATAGAAATTTAATTGTATGTTGTTGTTTTCAATTATATATGAACTTGTGGAAAAATAAAGAAATACTCCGTAGTTGTTTTGCAAAGAACCTCTTTGAAACCTAGTAAAAAAATAAAGAAATAAATTGTTTTGCACAATTAATTTAATGGATAAAATATGAATGTCAAATAAAAAGGAATTTCTTTCACGTGAAAATATTTATTTTTGTGTGTTTTGTGCAAGACAAATTTTGAAAAAAAATAGTCAAAGTATGGAAACAAAATTTTTCATTACTTATTTATTTTTTTTTTTTCAAACTCCGAACAAATTTATAAATTTTTATAATGGAAACACGGTATGTTCATTGGTTGGGAGCATTATTCAAGTATTAAATATTAGAAAATGATTTAATTGACGACTATAAAACCTGATAAAAATAGATTCTTATAAATATTTAATGTGGCTATCTTAAAATTTCAACTCAAACACAGTTCTTTCCATAACGTGACTATACAGAAATCCTTCCAATTCAAGCACAATTATTTCCATAACTTTATTATCCTAAAATTCCATCTCATCATACATGATTCTTTCCCTCACTTTCTTTTTATGTAGTTAGAATAATACATAAACAAACTCTTTTCATATATATATATATATATATATATATATGTCATTTTCACAAACCGGGTTTGCATAACTATGAAATATATTGGAATGTTTTTATAAGAATTATATAAGAAATTAGTTTTGAATATCAACAAAAATCGATGATTGAAGAATTTAAATTCTTTAGTTTTGAATATCAACAAAAATTGATAATTGAAGAATCTAAATTCTTATTTTATTAATTTGTTTATGTTTTTTTTATTTTTTTATTTTTTTTATCATAGTTATTATTTTGTTAAATTTTCAAATGTTACTTTGTTTGAAAGTTATTTTTGTTTTTTTCATTTCAGTAAATAAAGAGAGTTATTTTTGTTAATTTATTTTGAAGAGTTTTTGTTTTGAAAGGTATTTTATATTTTAAATTTAAATTATCTATTTTTACACTGCCACGTAAAATCGTTGAAATATCAATTTTGTATTTATCGACCAAATAGTCTACTCTTAAATATTTTTTTGGCACCGGATGATGGTGAGTATTTTGGGCATAAACTTTAATGCTCTCTACATTTTTTTTTTTTTTTTTAATTTGGTAATTATTCATTACGAATTTTAATTGATGTTTGGACCAGTTAAAGATCTGGGTCCATGCATTATTGTGCAAAGGTGGTCAAAACTTTATATCGGGTACGTCAGACATACAGTAGAAAATCAATACTGCGAATAGCTGGCTGAGAGTTATTTTTAAAAATAAATAAAATTAATTTTATAAAATAATATATTTTTATTGGTGAAAAATATCAGTGACATGTACATATCAGTAACATGATATAGCAAACAAACGGAATATCTGGGCCATAACTAATTTTGAGAGGTTCAATTTTCCTTTCCATAATTGTACGTTTCCATTAATTGGTGCAGAAAGTTGCTTTTGATTTTGATACATCTGATTATCTTGGTCCACGACCATACAATTTGTAATCAATTCCAGAATGATGCAAGAAAAATGCACCATGTGAGTTTAGACTTTATCAACAAAGTGGCAAAATAGATTTTAATTCAAACCTTGTTTAACGATATCCATGATACTATGCATCGAATCGGTGATTTGTGTTTAAAATTAGAGAAGATTTAGTTAAAACTTTAAATTTAATTTGTTTCAATTTCAAATTCAACATGTGGATTTAGTGTTTCCAAACACAACATTATTATATTTTTCATAATTCGCCTTATTTAATAGTACGTCAACAATTTTTTCATAATATTAAAAATCCCATATCCTGAACATCAAATTCGTTATTGAAATTGGTATAATTTTGGAAAATTTTTGGCTAAAATGTGGGGAGATTAGCAATGTCACTATGTAGAGCGTACTGTCTCCACCATTTATGCACACTTGAAAATCACATGGGAGACAGTGAGACACCATTTATGCACACTTGAAGATCACATGGGGGAGTAAAGTTGAGAACAATATTTCAGTGTATTAAATGACTAAAAGGACAAGTTGCCAATATATAAGTAAGTAAAAATAATGATATATCAAAATATAAGAATACAAACAGTTTACACGATTCAGCTCGAAAACCTTGCCTCCGAAAAACACTAAAGCAGCCACCGAGACCTAACAGTAATCTCAACGGCGAATTCAAGAGTCGGTTTAATCCGACTTTGGCTAAATAAATACGATTGTACATACATTGGAACACAATTTTATTCATATATTAATTAATAAAGTTGGGATTACATGGTACTATCACACAAGGTTACAGCTAAAACAATAAAGATAATACCGAATGCTATATAGCCAAGTGTTATTTCCTCGGCTTTCTACAGAGGGTTTAAGTCTCATAGGGGCAAAAAGCCAAGAAAAAAAATAAAGATAAAAACATTGCCAAAGACCACCTGATCTTCCAGTGGTGTCTTGTTCATCAAACACTCCTTCTGGTAACCCTGACCTTCAGACCATGCTTCATGTGGAGTAACATTGAATTTTGGGGGGAAATGGGATGACCTTCTGCGACTTGAATTTGATAATTATGAATAATGGTAGATGCAACTATTTTCATTTGGATGAAAGTCACATCCTTACCTAAACAACTCCTCGGTCCTGCATTGAAGGTCGTGAACTTGTAGGATGGTTCATGTTTGACGACTCCTTGCGCTGAAATCCACCTCTCTGGCTTAAACTCTAAGCAATCTTTGCCCCATACTCTCTTCATCCTTCCCATTGAATAAAACAATAGCAACACTCTTGTATTTGGATCAATGCGGTGGCCGCTTGGAAGGATGTCTGGTTGAAGTGGAGTTTTATGCTCTGAAAATACTGGCGGGAACAATCTTAGAGATTCACACAAAGCTCCGTGGAGGTACACCAGTTTGTGCGACTCTTCAACATTGAAAAACCTCCATTTCTCGCCTTCTTTCACATGCAACTTTGCTTTGATCTCTTCTCGGATTTTGATTTCTGCTAAAGGGTTTTTTGAAATGAGCCAAAAAAACCAAGTGAGGGCAGCACTTATGCTGCCTTTCCCTGCAAACATAAAATTCACTAAGGTGTCTCTCAGAAACTTGCCAGAAGCACCACTCTTTCCTTTGTATGCTTTCATGAATCCTGATAACAAGTCATAAGTACCCTCCTCCTCTTGGTGCTCCACCATTTTGGCTTTGCTTTCACTTTCTTCGCGCTTCATTGAAATGCACTGATACACAAATTGATCAATGTCCAGCAAAGCATTTCTCAGCATCTTCTCTCTGCCAATTTGAAGCCATTTTTGCAACTTCCATAAGCTTACTGGCAATACATGCCTATAGAATACGGCTTCCTCAGCATCAAGAATCGCCTTCTCACATGGAATGTGCGGTAAGGCAATGGAAAGGCTGCCTGGATCATGGCCCAAAACTAACATGCAGATAATATCAAAAGTGAACTTTTGAAGTAACTCTTGCAAGTCAACCTCCGTTGCTAGGCCTGAGATGTGATCAAGAACCGGTATTAGCCCTTCTTTCACCTTCTGCCAGCTACTTCTCTCTAAGAGGTCGCGGAACTTGTCGTGGTTCATCATGGGCATGGTGGTTTTCCTATGGGCTTCCCACAACTCTGAATCAGTGTTCAGAATCCCATCTCCTAACATTTCAAAAATCATTTTGAATTCGGGGCCTTTGGGGTAGTTTGAGAAGTTTTTGCTTAAGATGTGATGGACATTGGCAGGATCAGCCGTGATCAGCATGTCCATCTTAGCAAACCAAGGGCCTTTAAACTCAACTGTACCTCTATTTTGCTTGAGAAACACGGTGGCAAGCTCATGGAGGTTGTTACCAATTCGAAGAAGCCCCGGCAGCATACCGACAAGAGGCCAATTTGTCAGCTGCAGGTAGCTTCTCAGCCTTCTCCTATAACAAAGAACAATAATAAAGCATAGTAGCAGTAAGAGTATCTCAGGGTATGAAAAGATTGCCATTGTAGCAGAGTGAGGTGTGGTTTTTTAAGGTTTCCATGCTTGGTTTTTATAGAGGATATGATATTAAAGTTCCACCTCCCCAGTAGTTTAAGCTTTTGAAGTAGATGGTTGTCAACATGGTATCAGAGTCAAAAATCTCGAATTCAAACCTCGCCGTCACCCTGATAATTAAAAATTGAAAAAAACACGTGTCGGACCAAAATAAGGTCACACGTGAAGGGGCGTGTCAAAGGATATAAATTTTACACCTTTCCAATAGCTCAAGTTTACGAGCCTATGTTGGCTTTGAGCGAGCCAGCAAGGATGTACACCAAAGTTAAGGAGTTAACATTGCACCACATGGAACTACATAATCATTTACTCTCCTTTCAATTTCCCCGCCCACACCCACACCCACACCGAGCCAAGTACATTTTTTTATTTTTTCCTAGTAAATTCACCAAATGCATCAGAAAAGTTTCAAATTCATTTAATTTATGACATATTATCATTGAACCACCTTTTCATAAAGTAAGAACTGGTACCGTTCCTGACTTGGCGGATCTATACAGGTCTTGAATGCACTCTCCCTAAGTTGAAGTAATTTCCTCCATAACCATGAGCATTGTCTAGAATCTTCAAATCCTAGAAGCTCTTATCCTTGAAAAAAATAATTTCTCACCCATTGAGCCCACAAAAATGTGGATCCATCTAAATATCATTTTATTATATGGACCAAGTGTATTGAAAAGGAAATTCGTAGACTGGATCATACCAAGTCTCATTTGATTTCAGTGTGTGAATCCCTGTTATTTGGCAGATTTCAATTCATCTATTAAAATTCAAGTATATATATTAAATGGTTAAACACTTCATAATAATATGAAATATAATGAAACACGATCCAGTGAGCCCATTTAATAATTTAATGTCATGTATCACAAAAAAAATAAAAAATGAAGAGGACCATTTTTCGAAACAATCAAGTGGCAAACGCCAAATTTGATACTCCTACTACTTTAGCAATAACAAGAACCAAGTGAGAGCTGGACATATGGTGTCTCTCTCGGCAAAGTGGCAAACGCCAAATTTGATAGGATGTCTCTGGAATTACCAACCAGACCCAAAATCCATCCAAAGAAGAAGAAGAAATAAACAAAAGACTCCAATCAAGAGATGATTAGCTAACCAACAAATGAATGATCATGAAGATGCAAGCAACAGGAAAACGGAAGTAATAGGATGCAACACTCAATATCAAGCCAATATATAAGAAAACGGAATCAGGAGAGGCCTAAATGGGCAGAAGAATATATATAGGATATTCACCCAATAAACATGAATGGAGCACCTATCCCATTTTAGGTTACCTCCCTAGCCTCTCTAATCTCTTATTACTGTATCTTAGGTTACCTCCCTAGCCTATCTAATCTCTGTGTGTGTTATGATTCGTGTTAATGACCCTTTCTGAGTTTTTTTTTTTTTTTTTTAAAAAAGCTTTCTTTTTTCCTCATCTAAATTTGCTCAACCAACACAATTTTGGAAAATTTATATAAGAGTAAATGGATATGAAAATTAAATACTACGTACTATTATTTCTAATCTCTGGTTAATTACCACTATAATTGACATTTGAGTTGATTAATTTGAGATCAGTTTACTTTGATCTGTGTCATATTAGCTTTAGCCTTTATGAGATGTGACTTGTAAGGTGGGGTATCTCATTACATGTTTGGAGCCAAAGTTTCTCTATATAATTAATTTGGGATGAGTTTATCATGGTATTGTTGAATCAAAATATTGAAGCAAATTGTTCTGAGAAACTAATTAATTACAGAATTTAGCAAATTAAGGCAGGTAAGAGTACTGGTCACTAGCATTTCATGCAAATTCTAGTAGGCTAGCATGTGCTTTTAGTCCCAAGTGCTTCAAAATAGATCCCATGCATGCCAAGTACAGAAAGCGAGGTCTAGACCCACTGCAAATACTGTGGTGCTATGTTCGGCTGCATGAAATTGATGTCTTGGAATTGGAGAAAAATTAGTTTAAAGTTTGAACTAAAATTTCTCCAATTCTAATTCCAATTTTAAACCACGAATTCCATACAACCGAACATAACATGAATAACTTTTATGGTTTTGAGAAAGTAACCCATGAAAAGCGGGTGGGTAGAGAGAGAGAGTGTGTGTGTGTGTTGTATGGGGCAAGAGAAATATTTTGCGGTCTCTCTAGTGAGCTTGGTAAACTAATGTTATTTGGTTATCTAGAAAAAGATCTGTTGATTAAAGAATTTCTACAATAGGGTCATCCTCCATTTTAATTTTTCTTGACCATGAAAGGTGTCTTCCTCCTTATCTGTGTCATTTACTGAGGCCATTTTGTTGTGATTAACATGTCGGCTTTCCTACATGTTAATTAACTAAATTCTGTTTTGTAGCCATCTAAATTCTGTTTGAACTGAAGAACGAACGTGGACAACAAGGGTATTAGGCATCTCACTAATTTGACTGAATTAATTAAGATCATTGAAAAAATTGATTAGTGAAACAAAAATATTCTCCTTTTTTTTTTTTTCAAAAGTTAAAGCAAACAAATACTCGTTACCCATAACATGCTCTTAATGGATCGGGCACGAACTCTTAACCTTTTCAAACATATCATCCGAGCTAGAGGCCCGGTGGTATGAAAGAAAAATGTTCTCTTCGTGAGATAATTAAAATTGTACTCCACAGAAGAAAGATTAAATGTAAATAATTCCTCTTGGATAGAGGGACTGCTTCAATCTTTATGGAGCAGAGCAGATGCCCATGAGAGTGCTCTGTGATAGAATTACTTTTTTTATCCAACCACTATTACAAATTAAAGAGTTGATATTGAAACTTAGTAGATGAAAACAGGGTCAGACAGTAATTATAAAAAATAAAAATAAAAAGGGTAATTTACAGTTACCTCCCCTGCAGATATGTCAAATTACGCCGGCATCCCCTCTAGTTTGGATATTCACGCTTACCTCCACTGCAAGTTACTGGTGTTCATATCCGGTCACGGGAGAAACGAATTTACTTTTCTACCCTTGTTATTTTAATACATTTTAATAATAATAAAAAAAAATCTTTAGTGTAAATTTACACTTATGCCCATAATACATTCTCCTATAATATTTGCAACTCTTCGTGGTTCTGTATAACACTTTGTGGCGCTGACGACACCTATATGGATCAATTTAGGGCTTACACAGTGTGTATATATATGGATCAATTTGAGGATTACAGTGTGTGTATATATATATACAAGGAGCACTCTGAATCTGTTCTTAGTTCTCTTGTATCAATTTGGGTATATAAGGAGAGAGCAAAAAAATAAAAATGATTGTCGCCGGAAGGGGGAGAATACGGATCAAAACCTAGATGGTGATTTTGTAATTATAATTTCTTAAGGAGGACAGGATTGTCTTCACAGAAATTTCAAGGGCAGTATAGTCATTTTGTGGTTGAGATGGTGATGATGTCAGCATTGACTGTCATTGACTACGCCGGAAGCTGACCGGAGGGTGTATTTGTTACAAAGTTTTAAAGTTACGGAGCTAAGCGTAAATATCCAAACTAGAGGGTATGCGGGCGTAATTTGACATATCTGCAGGAAGGTAACTGTAAATTACCCAAATAAAAAGATACACTAAAAAAAAATTGTCAGAGACCGTACCAAAAGACTCGATAAATGGCCGGACCATGCTCTGGACTCCGGCGATTTGCTGAACGCCGACGTGGGCGGGTACAGTTTCTGAAAAGGAGGAGTCAGATCGTCAGCACTCGACAAACCCACCTCGCACTCCGACACTCTGACTTCGTCGCCGCCTCTTTTGTATTCACCCATTTGCGATCACTTCTTTGCCCATCTTCCAATCTAATCCCGAAACAAGAAGTTTAGGGTTTTCTTCATTTTCAGTTCTTGTTCATAAACATTTGTAGAAATTTTGAAGAATCGGTTTGGGTTTTGACCAAATGTCGGAGATGAAATGTGGAAATAAATAGAGAGACGATCATGTGAAGGACTGAATCGATGGAGTCCATCGATGGATTGAATGGGATGACGAAGAATAAGAAAAAATACTTTTAACAAATAAGGGTATTTTCGTGATTAAAAGTTTTTAGTGGTACGAGACATAAAAAATTGGTTGAAATAGTTGAGAGGAGTTTTAATAATGAAGTCAAGTTTCTGATTTTTGGGCCATTATCAAGTTAAATTAAGGGTGCCAAAGATTGACATTACCAGCCAACACAATATGAACGAATTTTGATCATAAATGAGTTCACACGATTAATCAGTTTAGTTAATTGTGTTAATTTATTTATACTTGTTTAACTCTACTTGTCATATACAAATTTATATTTAAATTTCAAAATAATTATCTAAACTTGTGTTTTATAATTTACTCCTTATAAACTAGAAACTAGTTAATAATTTGATTATATAAACTAGAGACTAGTTAATAATTTGATTATATTGAAACTTATATCTTCCTAGTATTTGTTATTTAATTGAGTATTATTAATAATTTTACTAATATAATTTTTTATTTTAGTAAATAGGCCATTAAACGAGTTAGTATTGAGAGTTCATGATACAATTATTAAACGGGTCGTGTTCGGGTTAAGTTATTTAGTAGAATACCCTTAAATCGATAGAACATGATTATGACCCGTATTGGTGGAGCAAGAAATTAAATTGGCGAGGGGCAGAGTGTAAAAAAAAACCCCATGATAATAAATATAGATTCTTCAAATCAAGTGGCAAAGAAGAAAAATTAGTCAAAATAATATGTCAATTAATAAGTCGTTTAAGAAAGATAAATAGTTAACAAAAATTTTAAAAATGAAAGAAAAATGAGAAAATTTTGAAAAGGAAAAAAATTGTACTTTGATTCAAAAAGGAAAATTTGAAATTTTTTTTAAAGGAAATTAAATGAATTTAAAGAGTAAAAAAGAGAATAAATACAAAATTTAAGAGATAATTTTAAAAAATAAAAATTTTAGGAAGGGCATTATATGAATATTTTCACATATACATATAAAAATACATAAATTTAGTATATGTATTATAATAAGCAAGGTTAGGCCAGAGGGGCACGTGCCCCCCTGGGCATACACTAGCTCCGCCCCATTGACCCGTAAACACGAATTGCTACCCCTAAGTTAAATAATGGTATTATTTGATAATTCAATTTAACGTTTAATTCTAAATAGATTAAGTGTTTATTTAATTAAATGTGTTTGATAACCCAATTTGAATATCATTTAAAATTGTAAGCATCACTTAAAATGGGATAAAATTTTAAATAATAGGGACATCACTTATCATTGAATGTTGAACCCTCAGGGACCTATTTGGTTCGCATTTTATTTTTTGCATTAAGACATCACTTATCATTGAATATTAAATGCTCAAGGGGCTTATTTGGAACACATTTTATTTTTTTGTGTCAAGACACCACTTATCATTTAAGTTATTAAAAAATATATTTATTTTAATTACCACTTAAAAATTGAAGTGCTTAAAATTTTTAATACTTAATTTTCAGTTTTATTCACACCCCACTTTGCTCCTAAAAAGATTTGAACCCTAAAACTTCTATTTTAAATATAATAAAATATCACTAGAGTATCATCTTCAATTAATCGTAATTAATAAAGGATAAAATGAAAAAAATAAGGTTAAATGACCATTAAATGTTTATTACCGAAATGTCCTTAGAATAAATCATTTATTTCAAGCCAAAAAATCACTTTATTTATTAAATTTTTTTTTTTTTGAGGGGTGGGGGCTAAGTCACATAAAGCCGGATTGGTAGTGAGAGCGTATTCGAGAGTAAGAGCATGAGAGTGGCATAATTAAATCATAAATAGTTAAAATTTGAGTGAGAGTGCGTGCAGGGTGTGAAAGCAAAAGCACGCTCGAAAAGTAAGAGCAACACCTGAGAAAGATTGTATGACTTAGTATAAGGATGATTGGAAAGATAAACATCACTGAATTTCATTAAATAGAAACACTACAATCAGTTTGAATAAAATCAGAGTCATCGGAGGCCAAGAAATCTAATCACAGTTCCCCCCGCTCTTCCTCTGTTGCATGCATTGGTGGCATCCTTTTCAAAATAATCCAAACAAGTGTTGTGGAAACATCTTGACCACAAGTGAACCATTTTCCTTTTTGGAAGGTTAGATTTTTACTTCTTACATCAATCAATCATGACCTTTTTGAAAATTTTAAAATATGTTACCATAATTGTACATTACCATTAATTAGTGGAGAGCAAAACTTTATTTCTTTTTCCATTTTTTGAAGGTTAGATTTTCACTTCTTTGCAAATAAAAGCTGCAAAAAAACTTTAAGATCATAGAGAAAAATTAATAGACAAATCAAAATATTATACAAGAACACAAATAGTTTATGTGATTTAGTTCAAAAAATATAGTGATAAGTCACCTGCTATGGCACAAACAAGGGCCACACTCGCGAGTTAAAGATCGAACCCAACCCGTGTAAAAGGACTGAGGGAGCGACGATTACCTTAAAAAAAATAATAATAATAAATAAATAAATAATAAAAATAAAAATAAAAATTCCTTGGCAAAAGCCCTGTTAGGATGAGAGAGAGAGGAGGTAGTTTTGGCTAACCAACCAACCCAAGTAGCTAGAATTTGAACTATAATCAGAGTAAAAAAGACAATGCAGAGTGATTCTTGATATCAGTAAGTATTACTTTAATTACTACCAATACCAATACCACTGTAGCCTAACAGTACAAGGCCTCTATCTCCCTGTCAGGAGTTCGAACCTCAATGAAAACAATATGTGTGAATATCCAATTGGGAAAAAAAAAAAAAAAAATTACTACCAATCATAAGGGTAATTCAGATTTAGTGTTTTGTTCGATGATGCAGAAAACTGTTAAGAAAATTTAAACCACTAAACAGCATGCTGTTAATTTTTTGCATTACTGGTATACAGGGGTGGAGCCAGAATTGTAAAATAGGGAGAGTTAAAAATAATTAAACACATGATTGTTTAGTGTGTCATCCATACTCTAAATATAGAATTCTTATGAGTAAGTCATTCAATTAAACCCCACAATTTACAACCTTCAAACACATTTACACTTCAAACTCTAATGTATTTTCAAAGTCAAGAATCCATTAAAATATGTTTCATATAAGTATTAAAACAAACACTTGCAAGAATGCAAGATATATATATATATATATATATATTCCTTATCAATAAATTCACATTATAAAAATAAGACCTATGTGTTTCGCCCTTGACTAGTTATTAATCCATTATATAATAAATTACCCAATTTAACAAGAAACTAGTCAACAAAGTTTTTATTATTATTATTATTACTATTTTTTATTTTTTTTACAAGAATAAAAATTAATATTTCACTATATTAACAATAATAAAACATTGAGTCTAGGTCTTTTTCTATAGACTAACAATGTGTTTGGTTTGTTGAATTGGACCCAATTATATTTTATTATGGTTTCTTTTGTGATTGGGTTTGTCCATTGTTCGTTGAAAGAAAAGCATAGTAATTTGAAAATGGAACAATGCATTAGACAATTAATATATGATAGAGGGAGTAAGTATTTCAATCTTTATGGAGCAGAGCACTTGACTACATGATAGGGCTCTTGGATGGCATTACCTTTTTATCCAACTGCTATTACAAACGAAATAGTTGATACTGAAACTTAGGACCCGTAGATGAAAACAGGGTCAGAGACTATATATAAATAATATATATATATAAAATAAAATAAGTGTCAGAGACTGTACCAAAAGACTGGATGAATGCCTGATTCATGCCAACCATCGCCGACGTGGGCGAGAAAAGTTTCTGAAAAAGAGAAATCTCAGCACTCGGCGAACCCACCTCCCACTCCGACACTCTGACTTCGTCGCCGCCCTCTTTTGTATTCACCCATTTTCGATCACTTCTTTGCCCATCTTCGAATCTAATCCCCAAACAAGAAGTTTAGGGTTTTCATCATTTTCAGTTCCTGTTCATAAACATTTGTAGAAATTTTGAAGAATTGGTTTGGGTTCTGACCAAATGTCAGAGATGAAATGTGGAGACAAAATAGGGAGACGATCATGTGAAGGACTGAATCGATTGAGTCCATTGATGGATTGAATGGGACGACGGAGAATAAGAAGAAGATGAGTACAAAGCTTAAATACAGGATAAAATGAAGATAATAAGGTTATTTTCGTGATTTAAATTTTTTAATGGCACGGGACATACTTTAGTTGGAAAAGCTCAGGGAGAGTTTTAACGAAGTCATGGTTTCTGATTTTTGGGGCCTTTACCTAAGGATCAGTTTGGTAGAGTAGAAAAGGGAGGAAAGGAAAGGGAAGGGAAGGTGATGGAGGGGGATTAAAAATGTGTGTTTGGCAAAAATTGTTGGAAGGAAAGGGAAGTGAAGGGAAGGGTTTGGAGGGTTAGCTTGTGCCTTCAACAGTAGATTTCTTAACCTCCCAAAAATGGGAGGAAATGAAGGGAAAGGGAAGGAGAGGCTTGATGGGTGATTTCAGATGCTAATTTTACCCTCAAGATTGCAGAGAGAGAGAGAGAGACCGCCGGTGATTGAAGCTTGGAACGGCGACCCGAACTGGAACAGCAGCCATGGAAACTGAAGGATATGGGTTTTGGATTTTCTGAACAATCTGAAATGATACATCGATACGGGTTTGAACTTTTGATTCTTGCAAACAGATAGATAAACTGGAAATATATGGGTTTTGAATTTCTGATTCTTGTAGAGAGAGAGAGAGAGAGAGAGAGAGAGGCCAAGTTCAGTGTTGAGAAGGAGTTGCAGAGATGGAGCGAGATTGGGGAGGCTTTGGCCTATTTTTTTATTTTTCTTTTCTTATGGCCTCAAGTTAAAGATTTTATATATATATATATGTAATAGAGATGGAGGATTAGGGAGGCTGAAATGATTTGCCCTAATTTTTATTTATTTATTATTATTATTTTTTTTTGGCAAGTACATGAAACTATATATATATATATATATAATATAAATATAAAGGGGTATAATAATCTATATGTTAAAATAATTCCCTTTTATTTCTTTTCCTTTCTTTTCCCAAATATAATTATTGTCTTTCCCTTTCTTTTCCTTTATTAATCAACCAAACGCAATGGAAGTTTAAAATTATCCTTTCTTTTCCTTCCCTTCCCTTTCCCTCATAACTAATGTTAGCCTTAAAGAAGAAGTTATGGTTTCTGATTTTTGGGACCTTTACCAAATTAAATAACGGTGTTATCTCTTTTTTTTTTTTTTTTTTTTTCATTTTTTTAATTTTATTTTTATCAAACCAGTAGGGACAGAAAACTAAGAAACAAAAAGAACAATCACAGAAAAAGGGCGTCCCTTTCACACGCGAGGGTAGAAGAAGCCCCAAATCAGTGACAGAAGAAGAAAGAACAGAGTTAAGAGCAAATAACGGTGTTATCATTATTATTATTTTTTACTCAAATAATGGTATTATTTGATAATTTAATTTTACATTTAATTTTTGAATAAATTAAGTGTTTATTTAATTAAATGTATTTGATAATTTAATTTGAATATCATTTAAAATTGTAAGTTTAATTTAAAATAGGAAAAATTTTTAAGTGATATGGACATTACTTATCTTTGAATGTTGAGTGCTTAGAGGACTGTTTGGTACATGTTTTGTTTTTGACGCGTTTCATACACGTTTTGTTTTTGTTGTTAAAACATCATTAATCATTAAATGTTGAACGCTTAAAAATTAAAAAATTATTAAAAATATATTTATTTTTAATTATCACTTTAAAATTTTAACACTTAAAATTAAAGGGTGGGGGTGGTTGGAAAGGTAAACATCACTGAATTTCATTAAATAGAAACACTACGGTCAGGTTGAATAAAATCACAGTGCATGCATGAGTAGTCGCATCCTTTTCAAAATCATCCAAACAAGTGTTGTGGAAACATCTTGACCACAAGTAAACCATTTTCCATTTTTAAAAGGTTAGATTTTTACTTCTTTCATTATCATGTATGACCATCTGAAAATTTTAAAATATCCTACCATAATTGTGCATTACCATTAATTAGTAGAGAGCAAAACTTCATTTCTTTTTCCCTTTTTTGGTAATTTAGATTTTCACTTTCTTTGCAAATAAATGCTGCAAAAAAAAAATCTTTCTACAGTGATAAGTTATTTGGGCATGGTGTCTCATGAAATATCATGTTACTGATAAGGTATAAGATTTGATTTTCTTAAATACAAATAATTTTTTTGAGCCATGTGTGCGGGTGAAAGTTCGAACTTTACCCGACCATGTAAAAGGAGAGATACCGATTACCTTAAAAAATAAAAATAAAAACCTAGGTAAAAGCCCTATTTGGATGAGAGAGAGAGAGAGAGAGAGAGAGAGAGGAGGAGGTGGTTTTGGCTAACCAACCAAGACATGTAGCTAGAATTTGAACCAAAAAGTAAAAAAGACGATGCAGATCAGTGATCCTTGATATCAGTATCACTTTACTACCAATCATAAGGGTAATTCGGATTAGTGTTTTGTTCAATAATGCATAAAACTGTTAAGAAAATTTTAACCAGTAAACTGCATGCTGTTAATTTTCTGCAATACTGGTATCATTTTAGTTTGGTTTAGAAAAGATTGGGAACTTCAGCATGCACGTCTCATTTGCCTACCATTAATTAATGCAGCCACCGAGGCCTTAACAGTAATCTCAACGGCGAATTCAAGAGTCGGTTTAATCCGAATTTGGCTAAATAAATACAATGTGAATGTAGATACATTGGAACACACAATTTTATTCGTATACTGTATTAATTAATAAACTTGCGATTACATGGTGCTGACACATAATGTTACAGCTATAATAATAAAGATAATACCTAGGGTTATATAGCATAATGTTATTTTCTCGCCTTTTAACGGAGCAGGACAAGGGTTTAAGTCTCACAGGGGCAAAAGTGGGTGCGTCTGGCCAAGAAAAAAAATAAAGAAAAGACATTGCCGAAGACCACCTGATCTTCCAGTTGTTTCTTGTTCATCAAACACTCCTTTTGGTAATCCTGACCTTCAGACCATGCTTCATATGGAGTAATACTGAATTTTTGGGGGAAACAGGATGACCTTCTGTGACTTGAATCTGATAATTATGAATAATGGTTGATGCAACTATCTTCATTTGGATGAAAGTCACCTCCTTACCAAGACAACTCCTCGGTCCTGCATTGAAGGTTGCGAACTTGTAGGATGGTTCATGTTTGACTCCTCCTCGCGCTGAAATCCACCTCTCCGGCTTGAACTCTAAGCAATCTTTGCCCCACACTGTCTCCATCCTCCCCATTGAATAAAAAGATAGCAACACCCTTGTACTAGGAGCAATGCAGTGGCCGCTTGGAAGGATGTCTCGTTCAAGTGGGGTTTTATGCTCTATAAATATTGGCGGGAACAATCTTAGAGATTCACACAAAGCTCCATGAAGGTACACTAGTTTACGCGACTCTTCAACATTGAAAAACCTCCATCTATCGCCTTCTTTGACACGCAACTTCGCTTTGATCTCTTCTCGGATTTTGATTTCTGCTGAAGGGTTTTTTGAAATGAGCCAGAAAAACCAAGTGAGGGCAGCACTTATGCCGCCTTTCCCTGCAAACATCAAATTCACTAAGGTGTCTCTCAGAAACTTGTCAGAAGCACCACTCTTTCCATTGTACGCTTTCATGAATCCTGATAACAAGTCATAATTACCCTCCTCCTCTTGGTGCTCCACCATTTTGGCTTTGCTTTCACTTTCTTTGCGCTTCATTGAAATGCACTGATACACAAATTGATAAATGTCTAGCAAAGCATTTCTCAGCATCTTCTCTCTTCCAATTTTAAGCCATTTTTGCAACTTCCATAAGCTTACTGGCAATACGTGCCTATAGAATATGGCTTCCTCCGCATCAAGAAACGCCTTCTCACATGGAATGTGTGGTAAGGCAATGGAAAGGCTGCCTGGATCATGGCCCAAAACTAACATGCAGATGGTATCAAAAGTGAACTTTTGAAGTAACTCTTGCAAGTCAACCTCAGTTGCTAGGCCTGAGATGTGATCAAGAACCGGTATTAGCCCTTCTTTCACCTTCTGCCAGCTACTTCTCTCTAAGAGGTCGCGGAACTTGTCCTGGTTCATCATGGGCATGGTGGTTTTCCTATGGGCTTCCCACGACTCTGAATCAGTGTTCAGAATCCCATCTCCTAACATTTCAAAAATCATTTTGAATTCGGGGCCTTTGGGGTAGTTTGAGAAGTTTTTGCTTAAGATGTGATGGACATTGGCAGGATCAGCAGTGATCAGCATGTCCATCTTAGCAAACCAAGGGCCTTTAAACTCAACTGTACCTCTATTTTGCTTGAGAAACACGGTGGCAAGCTCATGGAGGTTGTTAGCAATTCGAAGAAGCCCCGGCAGCATACCGACAAGAGGCCAATTTGTCAGCTGCAGGTAGCTTCTCAGCCTTCTCCTATAACAAAGAACAATAATAAAGCATAGTAGCAGTAAGAGTATCTCAGGGTATGAAAAGATTGCCATTGTAGCAGAGTGAGGTGTGGTGTTTTAAGGTTTCCATGCTTGGTTTTTATAGAGGATATGATATTAAAGTTCTACTTCTCCAGTAGCTTAAACTTTTGGAGTAGATGGTTGTTAACATGGTATCAGAGCCAAAGATCTCGAATTCAAACCTTACCGTCACCTTGGTAATTAAAAATTGAAAAACACACGTGTTGGACCAAAATAAGGTCACACGTGAGGTGGTGTGTCAAAGGATATAAATTTTACACCTATCCAATAGCTTAAGCTTACGAGCCTATGTAGGCTCTGAAAGAGCCAGCAAGGATGTATACCAAAGTTATGGAATTAACATTGCACCACATGGAAATACAGAATCATTTACTCTCCTTTCAATTTCCCCACCCACACCCACCAGCAAGGATGTATACCAAATTTAAGGAATTAACATTGCACCACATGGAACTAAAGAATCATTTACTCTCCTTTCAATTTCCCCACCCACACCCACACCGCGCCAAGCACATTTTTTAATTTTTCCTAGTACATTCACCACATGCATCAGAAAAGTTTCAAATTCATTTAATTTATGACATATTGTCATTGAATGACGTTTTCAAAAAGCAATTACTGGCACCGTTCCTGAGTTGGTGGATCTATATAGATCTTGAATGCACTCCTCTAAGTTGAAGTAATTTCCTCCATACCCACGAAGCATTGTCTAGAATCTTCAAATACCAGAAGCTCTTATCCTTGAAAAAATACTTTCTCACCCATTGAGCCCATAAAATGTGGATCCATCTAATATCATTTTACTATACGGACCAAGTGTATTGAAAAGGAATTTCATAGACTGGATCATACCAAGTCTCATTTGATTTCAGTGTGTGAATCCCTGTTATTTGGCAGAATTCGATTCATCTATTAAAATTCAAGTATATATATTAAATGGATAAACACTTCATAATAATATGAAATATAATGAAACATGATCCAGTGAGAACATTAAATAATTTAATGTCATGTATCACAAAAACATAAAAATAAAAATGAAAAATAAAAAATGAAGAGGACCATTTTTCAAAATAATCAAGTAGAGTACTATTACTTTCAACCGTTACTTTCATGTTACAAGAAGAGAAAGGATGGACTGAGATATTTCTACACTATAAAATGGAGTGCAATTCTTAATAGAATTTAGTTCAAAGGACCAAGGTACGTCTAGCGAATGGTAACATCCTTAACCACCATAAGTACTATTTTAGTCAAGTTACAATTCGTGGTAACAGTATTGTCTGGGTGTCCTACTTTTGAAGCAACATTCATTTTTGTGAAGTTAATGTGTAATTGTAGAAGCAACTGATAAAACTGCTTAGAAAAACACTTCGTTTGATAAAAACTAATACTACTTTAGCAATAACAAGAACCAAGTGAGAGCTGCACATATGCTGTCTCTCTTGGCAAAGTGGCAAACGCCAAATTTGATAGGATGTCTCTGAAAATCCTTGGAATTACCAACCAGACCCAAAATCCATCCAAGGAAGAAGAAAAAATAAACAAAAGACTCCAATCAAGAGATGATTAGCTAACCAACAAATGAATGATCATGAAGATGCAAGCAACAGGAAAACGAAAGTAATAGGATGCAACACTCAATATCAAGCCAATATATAAGAAAACAAAATCAGGAGTGGCCTAAATGGGCAGAAACATATATATAGGATATTCACCCTCTTAACATGAATGGAGCACCTATCACATTTTGAAGGATTTGGACATTGGAAAAGTATGTATCTATGAGGGGACAGTTATTGTCTTAAATGGTCCTTAATTTTGGACATATTCACATACTTTTGGATTGTCCCAAACTTAAATTATTATTCCATGCACCATAACCGTTGTATATATATGATGGAGTAGTTTCTTGGCATGCATAATGTTTTACATGCAGAAATGTAGTAGTAAATACTCTCGTGCTATCGAATTGGAAGAAATTTAGTTAAAATTTTGAACTAAGTTTCCTCCGATCCCAAATTCAGAGCACCGATTTGGTGCTCCCAAACACAATATTACTGATATAACTTGGGCATCTGTCTTTTTTACATGCAAGTAGAAAATTTTTGGGTTGTATGCAAATCATCATAGTTACATACAACCCATGACTGCGAGACGTGGGATGATGTGTTGACAGAAATGTAGCAGTAAGTCTTATTACTGTATCTTAGGTTACCTCCCTAGCCTCTCTAATCTCTCTGTGTTATGATTCGTGTTAATGACATTTTTTTTTTTTAATAAAAAAAGAAGCTTTCTTTTTTCCTCAGCTAAATTTGCTCAACCAACACAATTTTGGAAAATATATATAAAAGAGTAAATGGATACGAAAATTAAATACTACTTACTATTATTTATATTCTCTGGTTAATTACCACTATAATTGACCTTTGAGATGATTAATTTGAGATCAGTTTAGTTTGATCTGTGTCGTATTAGCTTTATGAGATGTGACTTCTACGGTGGGGTATCTCATTACATGTTTGAAGCCAAAGTTTCTCCATATAATTAATTTGGGATGAGTTTTTCATGGTATTGTTGAATCTAAATATTGAAGCAAATTGTTCTGAGAAATTATTTAATTACAAAATTTAGTAAATTAACGTAGGTAAGAGTACTGGTCATTAGCATTTCATGCAAATTCTAGAAGGCTAGCATGTGCTTTTAGTCCCAAGTGCTTCAAAATAGATCCCATGCATGCCAAGTACAGAAAGCAAGGTCTAGACCCACTGCAAATACTGTGATGCTATGTTCGGCTACACGGATTGATGTCTTGGAATTGGAGTTGGAGAAAAATTAGTTTAAAGTTTGAACTAAATTTTCTCCAATTATAAAACACGAATTCCATACGACCAAACATAGCATGAATGACTTTTATGGCTTTGAGAAAGTAACCCATGAAAAGCAGGTGGGTAGAGACTAGAGAGAGAGAGTGTGTGTGTGTGTGTGTGTGTGTTTTGTAGGGGGCAAGGGAGAGATATTTTGTGGTCTCTCTAGTGAGCTTGGTAACAACACTCCAGGTTGTGCTTACATCTAAGTATCTAGATAATATATGACATATTGTCTATTTCACACACAAATATATCATATATATAAACTAACGTTATTTGGTCATCTGGTAAAAAGATCTGTTGTATAAAGAATTTCTATAATAGGGTCACCCTCCATTTTATTTTTTCTTGACCATGAAAGGTGTCTTCCTCCTTATCTGTGTCATTACTGAGGCCATTTTGTTGTGATTAACATGTCGGCTTTCCTACATATTAATTAACTAAATTCTGTTTTGTAGCCATCTAAATTCTATTTGAACTCAAGAATGAATGTGGACAACAAGGGTATTAGGCATCTTACTAATCTGACTGAATTAATTAAGATCGTTGAAAAAATTGATTAGTGAAACAAAAATGTTCTCATTTTTTTTTTTTTTCCTTTTCTTTTCTATTTTCCGAAAGTTAAAGCAAACACACACTCATTACCCATAACATGCTCTTAATGGGGCACAAACTCTTAAGCTCTCCAAACATATTATCTGAGCTAGAGGCCCGGTGGTTTGAAAAAAAAATGTTCTCTTCGTGAGATAGTTAAAATTGTATTCCACAGAAGAAAGATTAAATGTAAATAATTCCTCCTGGCCTTGGAGAGCCCATATCATCCATTTAATCTGGTACTCGAGTTGACCGTTTCTAGGTAATGGTCTTTTAAGGAAACCTATCCCACACTAATAATGTCTTCTATTTATTAATTTATTTAATTATTTTGAGTATTGCTATGAAGAGAGACTTCTCAATCCGCCGGACAATAGTTGAGCTCTATATGTTCCATATTAGTAGTCCCTCATTTCTTTTTGAATGTCCCAATTTAGTTATCTAATTTAAAAGTCAGTTTATCTTCTTTTCATTATTATCTTTCGCTAAAATCTTCCAACTTGGTGATATACTTATTTATACTTGAAAGAAAAACCTAGTAATTTGAAAATGGAACAATGCATTAGACAATTAATATATGATAGAGGGAGTAAGTATTTCAATCTTTATGGAGCAGAGCACTTGACTACATGATAGGGCTCTTGGATGGCATTACCTTTTTATCCAACTGCTATTACAAACGAAATAGTTGATATTGAAACTTAGTACTCGTAGATGAAAACAGGGTCAGAGACTATATATATATATATAAAATAAAATAAAATAAGTGTCAGAGACTGTACCAAAAGACTGGATGAATGCCTGATTCATGCCAACCATACTCCGGCGGACTCCGGCAACATGCCGAACGCCGACGTGGGCGAGAAAAGTTTCTGAAAAAGAGAAATCTCAGCACTCGGCGAACCCACCTCCCACTCCGACACTCTGACTTCGTCGCCGCCCTCTTTTGTATTCACCCATTTTCGATCACTTCTTTGCCCATCTTCGAATCTAATCCCCAAACAAGAAGTTTAGGGTTTTCATCATTTTCAGTTCCTGTTCATAAACATTTGTAGAAATTTTGAAGAATTGGTTTGGGTTCTGACCAAATGTCAGAGATGAAATGTGGAGACAAAATAGGGAGACGATCATGTGAAGGACTGAATCGATTGAGTCCATTGATGGATTGAATGGGACGACGAAGATGAGTACAAAGCTTAAATACAGGATAAAATGAAGATAATAAGGTTATTTTCGTGATTTAAATTTTTTAATGGCACGGGACATACTTCAGTTGGAAAAGCTCAGGGAGAGTTTTAAAGAAGTTATGGTTTCTGATTTTTGGGGCCTTTACCAAATTAAATAACGGTGTTATCATTTTTAATTTTTTTTACTCAAATTACGTATTATTTGTTAATTTAATTTTACATTTAATTTTTTAATAGATTAAGTGTTTATTTAATTAAATGTATTTAAAAATTTAATTTGACTATCATTTAAAGTGGGTGCCTCTGGCCAAGAAAAAAAAATAAGGAAAAATTACATATAAATGGAGTTAAAGTTCCATATTTACTTAGAAACTGAGTCAAAGTTCCATATTTCTCTAAAATGGATTGCTGAGGTGGCACATGATTTTTTACTGTTTAAAAAATTATGGTGCCTAAAATGCCCTTCCATAACAAAAAAGTAGTACCTTCAGTTAAAAAAAGTAATACCTTCAGTTCAAAAAAGTAGTACCTTCGGAGAAAAAGTAGTACCTTCGCGGGTGTTTAAAAAACATGGTACCTGGACACCAAAAAGTAGTACCTTCAGTTCAAAAAAGTAGTACCTTCGAAGAAAAAGTAATACCTTCGCGGAAGGGTATTTTAGGCACCACAATTTCTAAACAGTAAAAAATCATGTGCCATCTCAGCAATCCATTTTAGAGAAATATGAAACTTTGACTCAGTCTCTAAGTAAATATGAAACTTTGACTCCATTTATATGTAATTTTCCCAAAAAATAAAGATAAAACATTGCCGAAGACCACCTGATCTTCTGGATTAAACCTAAAAAAAAAAAAAAAAAAAAAACACTCCTTTTGGTAATCCTGACCTTGAGACCATGCTTCATATGGAGTAATATTGAATTTTTGGGGGAAACAGGATGATGACCTTCTGTGACTTGGAATCTGATAATTATGAATAATGGTTGATGCAACTATCTTCATTTGGATGAAAGTCACCTCCTTACCTAGACAACTCCTCGGTCCTGCATTGAAGGTTGCCAACTTGTAGGATGGTTCATGTTTGACTCCTCGATCCTCGTGCTGAAATCCACCTCTCCAGCTTGAAGTCTAACCAATCTTTGCCACCACACCGTCTCCATCCTCCCCATTGAATAAAAAGATAGCAACACCCTTGTACTAGGATCAACGCGGTGGCCGCTTGGAAGGAAGTCTCGTTCAAGTGGGGTTTTATGCTCTATAAATATTGGCGGGAACAATCTTAGAGATTCACACAAAGCTCCGTGGAGTTGCACTAGTTTACGCGACTCTTCAAGCCTTCTAGCTTTGACATGCAAGTTCGCTTTGATCTCTTCTCGGATTCTGATTTGTGCTGAAGGGTTTTGTCGAAATGAGCCAGAAAAACCAAGTGAGGGGACTGAGGGCACTTATGCCTCCTTTCCCCGCAAACATCGAATTCACTAAGGTGTCTCTCAGAGACTTGTCAGAATCGATCACCACCACTCTTTCCTTTGTATGCTTTCATGAATCCTGATTACAAGTCATAAGTACCTTCTTCCTCTTGGTGCTCCACCATTTTGGCTTTGCTTTCACTTTCTTCGCGCTTCATTGACATGCACTGGTACACAAATTGATCAATGTCCAGCAAAGCATTTCTCAGCATCTTCTCTCTGCCAATTCGAAGCCATTTTTGCAACTTCCATAAGCTTACTGGCAATACGGCCTATAGAATATGGTTTCCTCAGCATCAAGAAACGCCTGCAGGAGCCACGATTTCAAGTGGGCGCCATGCTGCCAAAAAAAAAAAAAAAAACAATACGATGTATATATATAATATAACCACCATAAAATTTAAAAGACAAAAATGAAGAAAATTATTTAAATATGCAAGCTAAAAAGAAGAATTTCAAGAATAGAAGTAAATAAAAAATAAAAAAAATAAGAGAACTTTAAAAAGAAAAAGTTAAAAAGTGACTCCATAAAGACCCAAACCCCTAACTTTCTCAATCTCTGTAGAATAGGGGCTTGTACTGTTCGGTCACTGGTGAGTTGGTCAATATTATAATAGTTACTCTTCTCTATGCAAGTATCCAAAAATTTTATTATTTAGATTCTTATATTATTTTTATTTTTTTAAATATAAAAATATTTATTAAATATAAATTTTTCTAGACCTATTGTGATATTTAATAAGAAATGAATAATTTAGGTAAATTATAATATTTTCTATTAATTTTCGTGCTATCCAAATTATGAAATGCGATTTTCTCATAAGTTTCTTGGAAAAATTTCATGCGAATCAAATGAATTCTAAAAAAATTATTTTCTTTTACCTTATTTTCACTTTTCATCATTGATTTTTATGTAATCAAACGGACCCTAAATAAAGGTAAATAAAGATGATCAGGGTAGTTGTCAACATAATTTTAAGTTGCCTTAAATTCAGGTTGGTTTTGACTAACCAACCAACCCACGTGGCTTAGGATTTGAGCCCAAAGACAACGTGACAAATTCTTGAACTAATGATGGCTCTACAAAGTCATCTTTTCAATCAATAAGCATTTCTTTACGGCCAATCACAATCACGATGGTACAGAATTGGAGTATTAAAATCAGGATTGGAATTAAGAAAAAAAAAAAGCAACTCAAAAAATTAGATTACTTTCAGCTACATAGAATTGAAGTTTCGAAATTGAAATTGAAAGGAATTGAAGAAAAACAACTCAAAAAATTAAACTAAAATTTTCTTTAATTTTAATTCCAGGATTCAATTTCAATATAGCCAAATATAGCCAGTGTTTTTTTTATTCAATAATGGAGAAAACTGTGGAAAATTTTGAACCATTAAACTACAGAGTTTAGGGCTAGTTTGGTGTGGTGAAATGAAATAAAAGAAAGGGGAATGAAATGATTTTTTTATTTTTATTTTTTTCTATTCTCGTGTTTGGTGCCAATTTTAAAGTTAGAACCATCATTTCTCACTATTCTTGAAGAATGGTCATTCCATCAAAATCATTCCACTTTCAAACAAAAGAAATGACCATTTTATTCCATTCTCATTTCTTTTCCACCTCTATTGTCATTCCATTTCACGACACCAAACTAGCCCTTAGTACTATGCGATACTACCATTTTAACTTGGTTTAGAATAGACTGGGAATTTCAGCATGTCTTGTATATTCTTACTTATCACTAATGCAGCCACAGAGGCCTTAATAGTAATCTCAATGGCGAATTCAGGAGTCAGTTTAATCCGAATTTAGCAACATAAATACTATATGGTTGTTGATAAATTGCAACAAACAATTTTATTCATGCATTAATTAATCAAGTTGCGATTACATGGTTCTAATTCAGAAGGTTACAGCTAAAACCATAAAGATAATTCATTGCCAAAGACCAACTCTCCAGTGATGAGTGAACTCTAGTTCAACAAACACTCCTTTTGAAAATCCTGACGTTTCAGACCATATTTCATGTGACGTAACATTGAACTTCTTGGGGAAATATCAACCCCCATCGGGTCGCGAAAAAATAAAAAATATATATAATTAAAAATAATAATTAAATAATTAATTATAGAGAAACTGATGTCATTCTCTATACTCTCAATCAAATATTAATACTCACACAACTAACAATAATAAAATTGATGATAATAAAAGTAGTTTTCTAAATTAAAAAAATAATAATAATAAAAATATAATAATGTTTGGTCGCAATACTCCTGACATGGTTGGCAAAACAGTGGTGATGATTTGAACTACCATATTACCCATATGGACGACAACACAATGGTGATGATATTATGTGGACACAAAAATAATACCCGGCCTTGACTACAATAAGGAAAACTACTTTAGACTTAAAAGATGCATGTATATAGAATCAAGAAGACAATGGTTATAACCCATGTGTGAATACTTTTAATAACAAATTGTTGAACTTGATCCAACCTATATACACACACACATATGATTCAAATATACAGTTTCATGAACATAGTTTCTAAACAATATATATGATTCAAATAAAAATTATAACCTTCATGGCCTCATTACAACCAATAAAAAAAAATATATAAAGTGCTGAATAATATTGTGAGATTACATGAGAAGAGATAAGAGAAAATTCTATCAGAAATCCAAAAGATACGTGGGTGATTTCTTAAGCTATTTCTCTCTTCTTGAAAATATATACATGTGTCATCAAATACATCATTCAATTACACCATGAGTCAAAATATAAGTCCAAAACTAAGCTACATAATGTATGTCACAATTATCACAAGTAGCTCAAAAACGTTATCAAGATCCCAATTAAGCTAGGGATGAAGAACCTTCTCTTGGGCAATGCCCTTTTCCTGAAAAATATAAGAATCAACGGGGTGAGCAACGAATTGCTTCGTAGGAATGTCTTATGAATATAAATTAGGTTTCTCAAAATTCTACAAACATAGCATGGCCAAACATATAAGGAACATGCTTCATAACGTCTAGTCCCAAGGGAAACCGAAATAGGATCATCCTAGTCTAGCATAAACAATATTAATCCATTCATTAAGACAAGCATAAACAGTATAGCGTACTTTACATAAATCCACAAGTTGCAATAACTCATAAATGTCAATTTGAAAATAAAAGTCGAAATCAATTAATGGGATAACTCGGAACACACCTGTTGAAATAATAATAATAAAATATATAAAAATTTCGGCATGACCTCCACAGAAAAGTCCCACTACAACCTGTTGGAATACATAAAAATGTAATGGCCTCACTGGGCCTTAAAACAAATATATCATGTCCCAACGCATAATACAAATATTATACTATATTCCTAAAATGATTACATACATATGAAAAGTCTCGTTTTTCCATCTCATCCAAACAAGGAATACACCTTAGTTACATCAAATTACATTCCATAAAACGTAGCTAAAATTTAAAAGTCCATAACTTACAACATTATACCAATTAAACTAAAGTTTCACAAAATAATTAAGATTACATTTACAAAATATTAGGATTCTACTACAAAAGATAGCAAAATAAAATAGATCTCCAAGCTCGTTTAAAATTGTGGTGGATCGTCGTCCGCCACATCTTTTTCGTGTCCTGAA